CTTCCTCACGATGTCTGCATTATCTAGCTTCGTTAATCCTATTGAATGGGTGCTCATTGATAATTAGATTAAACGAGAATACATATCACGAACAAGCTCATCATCATTCATTTTAAAGGAATCATAATTTTATTTAGCTAGACAATATTTTTGCTCACGGACATTAGTTGTGCCGTTATGGAGCTCTTAGAGTTTTAACCAAATTTCATGTGCCATATTTAAAGTGGACACTTGGTTAAACACATCCATGCTAAAAGATTCAAACAAATAATTTTTAGCTTTAGCATTGAAATGAATTTCTTTTTCTTCACTCTTTGTAGGTTTATCGAGATTCTTAATGGGTTTTATCCCGTCACGAGTGACTCTCCAAACACACAAATCTACCGCCTCAATGTGACAAGTCAGTCTAGCTTTATAGTAGGGGGGAGTTAGTGCCATCAAAGTGTGGAGGCCTAGTGGTATCCATCCCTACCACTCTAAATAGCGCCGGCTCAACAAATGTGTGAAGCCAAAGGTCCAAATTAAGCCAACCGGCTCTGATACCAATTGTAAGGGGGGGGTGAATTAGACAACTTAAAACTCTAACTCTAACTAAGGCCTCTAATTTCACCTAGTCAAAACCTATGCAAAAGATAAACTAACTAAATATGCAACTACGGTTTTGCTAGTGTGTTGCTATCTCTATCGAAAAAAGGAGTTATGCAAACATTTTAAATGCGAAGCTAAAGAGTAAGGTAGAGATATATAAACTTTCATCGATGATCGATATTTTTACGAGGTATTGAGAAGCGCGTAAGCTTCTCCCTAGTCCTCGTTGGAGCCCCTCGCAAGGAATCCCTCGCAAGGGCTAAGCTCCCGGTCTGATAACGCCGTGGATAGCCTCGGGCCTTCCCCACACGTAAGTGGGTCTCCGATGTGCCTTCCGGCAAGCCTCTCCTAGATGCTCCCCGCCATCTTCACTATCAAGCTTCCGGTCAAAACGTCGCGGGTCTTGTTCTCTCCCAGACACGGTGGCGGCCACACCACAAACGCGTTGGTGTGATCTCACAAGACTACAAGCCCCTTCATGTACAACAATGGTGTGCGTAAGCAATGAGTGGTAAAAGGTATGCAAACCTCACTAAACACTAGACCTAAACCTAGAGCAAGCGCATACGTGGTGGTCTAATCAACCTAAGCACTTCGCAAAGCAACTACGCTAATCACCTAATGAATCACTAAGCACTATGTAAATGGAGATCACTAAAGTGGTGTATCAACACCCTTGGTATGTTTCCTCAACTCTCCACATATCAAATGGCTGGATGGGGGTTGTCTATTTATAAGCCCCATGGAGAAAGTAGCCGTTGGAGGCGAAACCCACTTTACGCTCATCGGGCCGGGGACGTTGTCTTGTCGTCATGATCAGACACGTCCGGTTGTCCTGACCGTTGGAGCGCGCGCGTTGATCAGACTCTGGGCCGAGTCCGGTCTCACTCGATCGGACGCGTCCGGTCACGCTGGCGTCGTTCTGGAACCTCTCTGGACTCGATCGGACGCTACTTCTTGGTGTGTCCAATCGTCAAGTGCCGTTGCGTCCGGTCACACTGAAAACATTGCCATGACAAAGAACAGTATCATCAGTGTGTCCGGTCACTGGTTCGCTCAGCATCCGGTCATAGCTGCTGACGCCTGCTATTGCCGAGCAACTGATCGGACGCGTCCGGTCCCTATAAGGGCCACATCCGGTCACCTCTGCCGAGCTCGTTTCTTCGCGATCTTACGTCTGGCTTGGTTCCCATATTCGTGCTTGGACTATGCTTGATATCTTGAGTCTTCTCTTGTGCTTCTAGGGTTTTGCTTATGGTGTTGATCATGGGACCATCATGTTGCCTCCGTCCAAGTCACGTTTTGCACCATATTAAACTACAAAACAATTACTTACAAATTCATTAGTCCAATTTAATTGTGTTGGTCATCAAACATCTAAATCCAAAGTAAATGGGCATATGGTCTATTTTTCTTACATCAGGAACTCATCCTTGAGCCCCAAATCTATTGGCTTCAGCTTCGAAGCCGTGTTGCTCATCTTCAGTATGTGTTCTCTGATACCGCCACCAGTGTATTTCTCATTGAACAATTTCTTGATCAAAATACTAGCAAAAGCCTTTGAAGAGCCAGTGAACTGACTCTCTACTTTTTTAAGATACTCTGTGGCGGTATCATAATCTGGGATAGACCCCCTTATAGCATCTGAAATTGTGGGCTTAGCCACCATCAAGCACTTGCGGTTTGAAATGTCTCATTTCTCACGTTCGAGATCATATTTCATCCACACTTCTGCATGATCTCGCTACCGAGCAGTGAAATCAGCATCAGTCTTATTTTCTTCCCTTACTGGGTCCACTGGCTCAGTAGGACACAGGAAGGTAAGCGCTAGGTCATTTTCAGACAGCGCAAGTGCTAGTTCATACTTCTCTCGCCATACCCTATAGTTGCCCCCTTCAAGAGGTGGTATGTGCGAGATAAATACCATTGGGTCGAGTCCTGAAAAACACCGTCAGAGATAGTGAAACATATGACATAATAATTGCATGCTTTAATTTAACGTTGGTCAAAATTAAAGCATACAACATTCTTATACACTAATTCTACAACACCGTTGGACATAAATAGAATTAATGCATGGAAAACTTATAAATAAATATTATAATATTGCTATTATCAACGTTGGTCAGAAAAATAACAATATCATAATTTACTAAATAAAATTTAACTGCTCTTCAAATTAAATTCTCTCGTTGGTTTGAACTTAATTAGAAGATAATAAACATTAACTTTGCAGCGGAAATATGGAAAAATTATTTATCTACTTTTAGAAGCATTCATCTACTCTCTCGAAAAAATTATCCCATTGGTTCAAATTTTGACAGAGATTTAAACTAGTCAAAATCATCAAAATTTGCTTCGAAATATGAAAAACAAAAACGAAAAAGTTATCAGGCAACTTGGGCCGAAATCGCTCAAGACGTTATGCGCCTTTGTCATGACCCAAAGAAATGAAATTGGCCCATGGGTCCCCTCGCCGAAGCGGTCTCAGGCGGATTGTGCCCTAAAACCCAAGCAAATTCCCCTTTCCTCAAAGGCAACAGACTGGAGAAGAAGAGTGCGGCGCCGCGTTGTGGGTCCCCTAGCAGCAAGGCCTCCCGAGTGGTGAGCGCGCCCGCCGAGCAGCGAGTCCTGTCGGGCCCCTCGAGCCTGCAGCAGCCGTTGACCCAACGTCAAGCTACGACTGTCTAGTTCTCGCCTTGCACGACGGCGGTGGTGGTGGGCGGCGAGAAAAAACCAGTGTAGATCCTCCCTTCTCTGCCCTTACTTCTTCTAGGGTTAGGGTCCGATCTGCTTTCTTCAAATCGAATCCTCCTTCTATTCTTCTACTCGGTTTTCTACCCCGATAAGCTAGATCTATGCCTAGTTAGGCAATTGATACCATTGATAGACTGGATAGGATCCATTAGCCATAGATCTAGCATATATACTGACATTTGAGATAAATAGCAAGCCCTAGAACATGAACTAGTACGGGATTTAGAGATAGAGGGAGAGAGGTTCGGAGATGCAAACCGTTGGGCTTGGAGGAAGAGGAGGAAGCCATGCCGTCGGTGCAGTGTTCCAGCGGCGGTGTCGAACGGCGGGATGGAGGTGTTGTCACAAAGGCGGCGGTGAAGCCGGTGGCGGTACTTTCCGTCGCTGGCAGCGCCCCCTCTCTAGATCGGCTAGGGTTAGGAGTGTAGGCGGGGTTTCTGGCGGCGCAAGTGAACCTCGTGTCTTGTGCCTCGGCCCTCACCTCTCTTTTTATGGCGCTGTGCGACGGGGGCCCACCAACCATAGAACGGTTGGGCATTCCCGATCAAGACAGGGATCAAGGGCCCAATTAACCGTTGGGCCAAGTTGGTGGAGATCAATCTAAATTTCGCAGGATTTACTCAACTACAGTAGTCGATTCGATTTTAAGAACATAAGAAATTTCCCGTATTCCAGACAGAGCTAAGAATGATCTACATGATTATTCTCGCTTGCTGCTTGAATGAAAGAAAGAAAAGTTGCTACAACATCAATGAGACTCTGACTCCCTAACTATACAGAGAGCAGCATAGACAGCGACGCACGCGCCAAGCACGCAAAAATGCCCATACAGATAAGGTGGGCACGCGGATTGGCGAGTGACCGGCCGGAGCCCGGAGCGGCGGAGCCGCATCAGCCATCCGATGCCCGATGTGCATTATTGGATCAAGTCTCACTGCGTTGCCACACTTATGACGTATAGTGCTGACATGCTAATACCTAATGGTCACTTGTGCTCGATTCAGACTCTAGTAATCCCTATCCAGCGCTAGAGCACAGCTGCCGAATTCTACTGCTTGCTGCTTAGTGCTTGGACTACTACCATATATATCTGATGACGATGCCACCGCCTGAGATAGAACCAAACCAACAACCAGGTCAGTTAGCTTCCCTTCGTTAATTAAACTGCACCAATCATATGCAAAACATCCAGATTCTGATGGGGTAGGTCAACAGGTCAACTTAATGTTTAATCAAGACTGTACTGCCAAACATTCAAGAGCCAATGCAAGCCGAGACGAGCAGCACGCTGGAGCTGATCCATTAAGGGCTGTTGGTGCGGAGCATCCTTTGGTCAGAGTCGCCGTGCTCCCAATGCCCATGCCAATCCAGCTGTCCCCAAATTCCAGTTGATCGCCGGTCACCCGGAGTTGAACGCCAGGAACAAGTGCATCCCCCCCGGGGAAGGCGTACACGCGCGGGTCGTTCTCATCCTGAATTCCTGATCACTGATCACTAAACAATGGCGAACCCCTTTTTAAGGGGAAAAAAGAAAACATTGGCAGGCCTATAAAAGGCCAGCTCCTGGCCACTCTAGACCACACCCACACGGCCGGCCACACCATCAGTGGTGCACACTAGTGCTCCACTTTGCTAGACTACTCCCAGTCGAGGCAATGGCCTGCGCTTCCAGTAGCTTCCGCCTCAGAGACCACGCTCTGTCCTTGCTTCTGCTGGCGTTTCTCTTCCTCAGCTTGGCACGGCACGCCACGGGAGCCGCGGCCAGCCCCAGCAGCAGGAGGCTCATGGAGCTGTACAAGCCGCCGCCCAGCGACCTCCTAAGGTACCACGACGGCGCCGTGCTGAGCGGTGACATCCCCGTCTCCGTGCTCTGGTACGGCCGCTTCACGCCCGCGCAGAAGGCCATCGTCACCGACTTCCTCCTCTCCCTCTCCGCCCCGCCGCGGGGAGCGCCGCCGTCCCCCGCGCCTTCCGTCTCCCAGTGGTGGGGCACCATCGACCGGCTCTACCTATCGAAGGCAGCGGACGCGGCGGCCGTCGGCAAGAGCGGTGCGTACGGCGGCAAGACCAAGAAGAGCACTCGGGTGGTCCTGGCCGGCCAGGTCTCCGACGAAGGGTGCTCGCTGGGGAAGAGCCTGAAGCTCGCCCAGCTCCCGGCGCTGGCAGCCGCGGCACGCGCCGTGACCGCGAAGGGCGGCGGGCTCGCGCTGGTGCTCACGGCGCAGGACGTGGCGGTGGAGGGCTTCTGCATGAGCCGGTGCGGCCACCACGGGTCGTACTCGTACGACGCGTGGGCGTGGGTCGGGAACCCGGCCACGCAGTGCCCCGGCCAGTGCGCGTGGCCGTTCCACCAGCCGCCGCCGCCGGCCCGCAGGCGCCGCCGCCGTTGGTGCCGCCGAACGGGGACGTGGGCATGGACGGCGCGCTGATCAGCGTGGCCAGCATGGTGGCCGGCGCCGTGACCAACCCGTTCGGGGACGGGTTCTACCAGGGCGACCGCGGCGCGCCGCTGGAGGCCGCCACGGCGTGCGCGGGCGTCTACGGCGCGGGCGCGTACCCCGGGTACGCCGGGCAGCTGCTGGTGGACGCGGCGACGGGTGGCAGCTACAACGCCAACGGGGCGCGTGGAGGAAGTACCTGCTCCCCGCGCTGTACGACCCCGACACGGGTGCCTGCGCCACCTTGGTTTAAAGAAAGGGGCGCGAGGCGCCGTGCCTTGGCATCCGTCACCGTCAGTGGCTGATACAGTGATAATGCGCCTGAGTTTGTGTATTAGCGACACAGCGTATGTATATAGTCTGTGACGGTTGGGTTGGCGTGTTCTTAAATCTAAAGTTCTAAACCAACAGGATATAAAGTTGTAATTAAACTGGATAAATGTGAAGTAAGTACTGTGCTCTGTTTCATGAAGTGCGCAGTGTTGCTCTATCTCATTAGTCATTACGTATGACATAAGAAGATCTCAATAGTTATCAAAACTCACTCCCAGTCTTGTCTTTTTAATAAGATTGAAAAGAGATTCGGCTCATGCTGAAAAAATACCGTTCATTGAATTATTATTAGAGAAAAATTTAGGAGGTATGTCGGGAGGATGTTGCATGGGGTATTCGGATACTAATAAAAAAACAAATTACATAATCCGTCAGTACTCCACGAGACGAATTTTTTAAGCCTAATTAATCCGTCATTAGCACATGTTTACTGTAGCACCACATTATCAAATCATGGACTAATTAGGCTTAAAAGATTCGTCTACGCAAATTAATCATAAACTATATAATTAGTTTCATAATTAGTCTATTTAATACTCCATACATGTGTCTAAATATTTAATGAGACAGTGATTAAATTTTAGGAAATTTAGAAGGGCCTCTGGCCGCCGACCACCACTGCCCAGCCGCAGCTGCCGCTGGTCTGTCCCTAGCTGGCTGTGATCGGCCGTCCAGTGCTTGGCTAGCTGGGAGCGCCTATGGCTAGCTCTTTTTTTTTTCTTTTCTCGCAGTATCAAGAAGCCTGTGGCTGGCTGGAGATGGTTGCCGGCCGGCTGTGGCCTGCTGGAGCATGTGTGAGTGTGGTCGGTATGACGACAGCGTGGACAGGGGAGGTTGTGGCAAGGTCACGGACAACGGGCATGATCTACGTGCGAAGGTCGAACTGCTGTTACCTGATGAGTAACTGGTATGTCAGCGTATCATGCACTGTTGTAAATATCAGTGCAGCACTGAATGAAACCACAAGCCAAAAAAAAAAAAAAAAGTTGAGAAGCCAATGTAGCCATGTGCCCATGTGTATCGGGTGAAGCAGGCCGATTAGGCCTCAACTAACACGATTCGCGCGAACGATATAGAGCAGGAAAAAGTTCAAATTACCTCCTCGACTTCCGCGAAAGTCCGTTTTTTCTCCCTAAACTCTAAAACCGAGCAAAACACCTCCCTCAATTTTTAAAACCATTCATCTTACCTCTCTGGTAATGTTATAAGCAATTTTGAAGTTGGTTTTATCTTTTTATTTTTTATTTATTTCGGTTGAATATTTGAAAAAACATAGTAAATTATAAAATAAAAATCTAATTTTATTGTACTCTACGTGAGTAGATCTACACAGTAAACATATAATATGGTATGTTTTAGTACAAAGTTTTTGATGTGGCTTTAGATCTATATTTTTCTGTAATTAATTGAAATAATTCATAGCTATAGTTTCTATGGTCTAATTGTGATAAAATTTTTATAGTGGGCTAATTATTGTATGATTGAACTGTAGTAAAAATTTCATACTCATTGGATCATGTATAGCTTAGTTATAGCTGCAGTGTCTCGTTTCAGCACGCCCGGACGCGCACATTTTAGCCCCGTGGGCCAGCCCCCAAGTTAAAAAACGCGTCCACAAGCACAGGGCTGCGGGGATAAAGCGCATTCCACTTCGAACGAAAAGTAAGCGGAATAGCGATAACATGACAAGCAAATACGATGACCGTGCGCTATGTGCAAAGAGCCCAAACCTCAGCTATTGCCGAACGAGGGACCAGCTTCAAGCCCCTCCGAGCGCACCTACGACGGGGCAAAACGGCGAGCCGCTCCCCGACACCTTGACCGCTGTGTCAGGCTACACAACATTCAGCCCTGAGGGCCGAACCCTAGACTAGGACTCGCACCCGAGATCACAGGGCGAAGGGAGAGGATCCTGAGGGACGAGCTCATCGAAGGCCGAATCAACGAAAGTGGCCCACTTGTGGAAAACTCGCGCTCGCCCGAACGACCGCGGCGGGCGCACCATCCAGTCAGATGAAACCGTCAAGAACTCCTTGAGTCTCCAAAAATCATGACCCGCTTGGGAACGCCGAGTGCCTCGGCGCACACCCAAGTGGCCTACCAAACCACTCCATCCGGTTCATGCAACCGCTCCCGGAAGGAAACCGGTGGGGAGCGACAAACGCCGCCGCCTCTCCCGACGATTCTGGCGGAGCGCGCCCGCGCATGCGCGAGCACGAATCCCCACAAAGACACTAACGACTCAACGGCGAGCCTGGCCGACGAAAAAGATTCGTAAGAATCGGCAACACGAGATCGACCATTTCGGTAAAAACCCTTCACGCCAAGGATCATTGAAATAAGCCAATCAAACAACCCGACATTGGTGGTTACAAAAGGAAAGCAAAAAAGCAATGCATGCATCATAGGCCCAGAGCTAACGCGCGTTTGCCGATTACAACACCTTCCAAACATTAGGACCATCGGCTTCTCAAGCCACGAACGAAGGCATCTAGTCTAGCGCATCTCAGGACTAGATGGACCCGAGGTTACAACAATCATCAGATTCCATCCCGCTCGCGATGGACATCTCATGAAGCAGAGACACTGGTACAAGGTGTCTCTAACATTCAGAGCTACACCATGAGCAGGAGAGGACTGTCGAAAGAAGCCTCGGGGCGACCACCTTGCGAAGCTTCCTCTAACATCCGAGGAAGAGGCCCCGCCGAAAACCCGCCCCTATGCCGCTTTTCGGTAGAGCCGGGGAGGAACGCTCACATGAGAAGCCAACAAGCGAGCCAGCCGAGCCGATGCTCGAACGCTCCTAGACCTAGAGTTGGGAGCCGCGCGCCCACTGACCATGGAGGAGCCTAGTGGCCTGGCCCTCCAATGGCATCATTCCACCCATCTTCGTGGAACTTCCTCTAACACCTGTGGAGGACGAACGCCGGTAGGATGCTGTAGAGCCCGATCTCTGAAAATCCCTCTCAGCGGCGACGGAGACGCCGAGACAGACCATGAGCCATGGCGCTCGAAGAAGGCAGTCGTTCTCTCACTCGGACTGGACGTTGGGGAAAACTCAGAGGTGGGGGAAGAAGTGAGGATGAGACTCGTACCCTCCTCTCCCTTGGCTTAAATAGGCGGCATGAAGACGAAGGCGGAGAAGACGACGGTTCGCGTTCGAGGCGAGCACAGGCCCTAGGGTGCACTCGCAATCAAGGGGCGAAAGATGCGTCGGTTCAGTCCCTCAGGCAGCATGAGATCAGCAATGGTCATTGGAGGTACATCAAATGCATGTGTCTTCTCTAACATTTACTAACCGCTTTCTCGCAGCACAATGGAGGCGGCCAGACGAAAGGTTGAGCAGCGGATGACAATGCGGTAACGTATCCCGAGTAAGCATCGTAGGTTTCATCATCTTTCGATTTCCTCGCACGCGCCTCATGGCACACAACCATCTACAAGAGGGCACCGCCAAGACGTGACATGGCCAGGAGAGGTCGATAGCCCCTAGACTCACACGCCGAGCGGCCCTTCGCATCCACGACCCCGCATCGTACTTAGGAAACCCACTCTTTGGCTGGTCCTTAGAAGGGGTCGAGGTCACAAAAGGGATAGGGGCAGGGAGGAGATGGGCCCCTATGGCTCTAATCAGTGGTGCGGAGCCACACGACCATCTCTCCCTATGTTCGAGTCGTCTGCTTCGAAGTCTCCCGGGTTGACCCCCTCTAGGGGAGGCATCTTGCCCTCTGGCCACTGCGGAAGCGGTTGGGGACCAACGTGATTGATGGCCAATGATTTATGGGATGTCTCACGTGGGGCACAGCCGAACTCCACATCGATTGAGGACCCGCTCGGATTACCCATAGACCCCGATGAGGCGCACCGCTCTGACCACGTGGTTACGGTGGACATGCCTCTCCCCGCATGGGGCGAAACAAGACCCGCCTGTTACAAGTCAACATGACCTCTCAAGGTCAGCAAGGACGCCAGGGAAAAACAGAGTCGGGTCCCGTGACCTCAAAAGAGGTCAGGGCCAAGCCCCGACCAACTCTGCCCTACGTCCTAGGTCTCAGACCTAAGGCCTGCTCTGGAGACTCACAAACTGTCAGGGGTCTATGACCTCTTTGGGAGAGATTGACGAAGCAAAGAGGCCGGGGTGACGCGCAATGTGAAGCCTGAAGCGTGATCGCGGCTCAGTCACGCAGAAAAAATAAGAAAGGTCCAAAAACCTATGAGCCAGGGCACGGTCGCAAAAAAATCCTCGCGACCATGCAAACCTGAGGTCGAGGAAAACGACTCCTCGAAGATTTCAAAAAATAATAATAATATACCCTTCCTATTCGGTGATTTCGCGCCCGGCAACATAACCTCGACCCATCGGCCCGGGGGCTCGCCACGGTAAAAAAACCACAAATTGAGGAGAAAGAATTTGGCAGAATTCGAATATCCTCAAAAAACAAAAGCGGATGAACCGCTTATGAGGCAAGGCATGAATGATTCACTGCCCGACAATTATAGGTGCGGTCATGCCGCTAAAAAGGGGCACAAACGCCCGACCGACGAAGGTGACGGCGGCGCCTCTCTCACCTACCTATTGCGAGAGGTACGAGAGAGGCGGACAAAATGTCTTACGGATCTCATCACACTACCGTAGCTTGTGGACCAAGAAAAATAGG